CCACTCAGCAAATATAAACCTTAGTTTGCAGGCCCCAACAGCATGCATGAAAAAAACAGCTTCGAAAAACCCTCATCACCCTGAAAGACCTCCCCTATCAGACAGTAAACGTGAGATTGACTAGGAGAATGGACGATACCGCTGGATTGAATGTGATATCATACCGTCAACAATCAAAAGCGTTGCCAGGAGTTGTGCAGCTGTAGGGGCGCTGCTTACAACGCGCACGGTCCGGGATCGAATCCTAATCCAAGCCTCCCATCTTAAAGTCGGGTAGCTGGTCAGCCACCCTGTTGGGTTTCTGGTCAGCTATTGCTCTGGGGGGAAGGTTTTTTACGGTATTTCGAACAAAAACTCATGTACGTGACCCAAGACCGTCCATTCTGGGAACCATTTTCACTTTTTTCATTTTCAGTGGTTCATTTTCAATCGCCAGTAATTTCACTGGCAAACGTAGCATAAGTAGATTGCCGTAAATAAAGAAATGGTGAAATGCTCAAACCCCGGAGTATTTCCTCCCTCCTCTAAGGCGTCGTCCGTTTTACCACAAAGGAGATGTTTTACGCGGTTTTAGATGCGTTGCCACCGCAATGCACCCCTATCATGCGATAGCGTCATCTATCCGTTGCCATTGGCTCGTCCAGAGCGAAAATCAACGAGCAGATTGAGAATCCTATTCCCAAGTATCGAGTCATTTCCTATGGTACTTTCTTCACCTCTGCATCATTACCTCTTCCCTTCACCTCAATGGCGACCATTTTTTAACCATCTACCTTTAAAGAGTTTTTTTTCCAAAATAAAAAATATTAAAGCGACGAACCGAATCTTCAAGGCGAACACCAACTGTGAGGTAATAACATGAAATTTCAGAGCAGTTTCGGTCGTTCGGTGTGCGGTAGCGACGGATTATGCGTTCGGGGTGGAAGATCTCGAGCTCATGGATCACGTCTACGCCTGTATTCTCAACACATCGCACTATGACGAAAGCGTTATTGAGGTTAGATACTGTCATTATGATCTCCCTGGAAGGCGGGCGTTACGGTAGTCACATAGCTTCCAGCTTCGCCCTTCTTACTGAACGGACCTGCTGGGCATGAAAGAAAGAAGAAGTGCGTCAGAGATTTCAGCTCTCGAAACATTCATCTCCAAACTTGTCAGTTAAAGCGATTCCGTAATAAGGTCGAGGATCGAAGGAGGGGAATCCCCCAGCGGCAGAGCAGCCGTGCCGCAGCACAGGGTTGCC